CATAGAGATAAAAACCAAGTCTTATCTGAACCTCAATCGAGACAAAAAAAATCATCAAATGATACTAAAAAAAGATCTGTCAATAAGATATTGCATAGAAAGATAAATTAAAGAAAAAAAAACGTACGTACAATCATAAACATTTTAGAAAGTTTCCGTTGTTGTTTGCAGTTGTGTGAAAAACCTTGTTTTATATAACTATCATGCATGTCACAAAATTACAACTTTGGTTAAAATATACAGTAATCAATTATTCAATTATAGATATATTTTATAACTAGATCATTTATTAAAGTTTATAAAACCATCGGTTTTATATTATGAATAAAAAAAAAAATGATTGTGATTGATACATTACTTGATAATTTAAATAATTTCCATAAAAAAAATAATATAAACAAACGATTAGAATGGTGTCAACATTTGGTTAATGTCGCAAGTAAAGATGTAAAAAACATTTCTATTTGCAATAAATATGCTGAAAATAACAATGTTAAAGGATTTTATCATTATGATTATGATCATTATTTTGCAAAAGATGAACAAGAAATTTTTAAAAAAATAACTGAAGAAAAACAAAAAAAAATATTATTAGACATACGATATACTTATTTCGGCGCATCTTTTCAAAATAAACATTGGGTAATATATTTTGGACGAAAATATGCTAGGGAAACAATTGATATTAATCTTTTATTAAAATATACTAATGATGAACGAATAAAAGTTGGTCTTAAAAAGCTTGAAATGAATACGTATGTTTTATTTTATTTTTATTTCTTTTATTATTATTTTCAATTTAATTAATTATTATATTAGACAATTAGTAGATGCAGCTCAAAGTTATGCTAATTATTTAGCAAATAAAAAAATATTTGATCATATTCCTTCAGCACGAAAAAAAATTTCTGGTTTATATTGGATTGAAAATCTTGGAATGAATTATGAAACTGAAAAAAAAGCAATTCAAGGTTGGATGGGTTCTTCTGGTCATAGAAAACAAATTCTTGATAAAGATTATATTTATTTTGGTGCAGGATTTTCAAAGGATATTTGGGTTCAGGCTTTTGGGATGAAAAAATAGTTTTTTTTTGTTTTTTTTTGTTTTAAATAAAATTATATTTTAACTTATAAATCTTTTTGAATGAATTTACACATTAATAATTTTAATTTATCGATTAATTTTTTCTTGTCTTTTTCGTTTAAAACTGGATTTTGTTTTACTTCATCTTTTATTTCTTTTGCTGAATTAAAATCTTTTGCTTGTTCTATTAATGTAATAAAAAGATAATAC